GGGACCCAGAGGTGAGCATGAGTGGTTGTGTTACAGGCAGGGACGCGCAGGCTCTGAACAAGCAGTACTGCCAGAAGATCGGTGAGCTGGAGCAGGAAGCAGAGCAGGTGCGGGCTGAACTGGGCGACAGCCAGAAGCAGCTCCAGGAGCTGGAGGGCAAAGAGCCCTGGGACCCTGGGGAGAAGCACAAGTTGCAGGAGTACCGCACACGCGTGGCAGCTGCCCAGAGCAAGGCACGGGTGAGTGTGGATGGAGAGCAAGTGGCTCTGCCCTGATGGGAGGTGGCAACATTCTTGCCCAGAGCACAGGGGCAGCTTTGGTCCTCCGGCAGGTTCTGAGCAAAAAGAAGCAGGCAACCGAGAGGCTGGTGTCGCTTTCGGCCCAGAGCGAGAAGCGAGTGCAGGAGTTGGAGAGGAACATCCAGCTGATGCGGCGGCAGCAGAGCCAGCTGCAGAGACGACTGCGGGAGGAGAGCGAGCAGAAGAGGCGGCTGGAAGCAGAGATGAACAAACGGCAGCACCGTGTCAAGGTAGGAACCAGCAGGAGCAGGGGTAGCTCCAGGGGTGACTGTGGTCGGTGCAGCAGTGGGCTTGGGGGTACTGTGCTTTTTAAGAGTAGCCAAAGAGGCGCTGCTGTGAGAACATTAGCTGCCCATCAACCCGCAGCCCTTGGTTGTATAGAAACAGCTCACGCCCCTTTGAGATGGCTGACGGTTGCTCCTTCCCCTGTAGGAACTGGAACTGAAGCATGAGCAGCACCAGAAAATCCTGCGCATCAAAACAGAGGAAATTGCAGCTTTCCAGAGGAAGCGGCGGAGTGGAAGCAATGGCTCCGTCATCAGCCTGGAGCAGCAGCAGGTACAGGCACCATCCTGGCCAAAAGGGGCTCCTGCAGCAGCCCATCAGCTCACAGTGTCATTCAAATCTGACAGCAAAAAACTCAAATCGTATCTTGCTTCCAGGACCAGGATTTCTTGTAAATCATAACATCAATAAAAAAGCTGCAAAACGTTTGCAGAACGGTCGTGGGAGATGGAGCATGATAGAAGTAGCGATGTCAGGGCTGCGTGGGTTAGCAGAGATGGAATCAACTCTGCTGCCCTCGAGTCTAGCAGTCCCTGGAATTGTTGCTGTATGCACGCATGTGTGTGACTTATGCCTTCTCCCTTCAGAAAATTGAGGAACAGAAGAAGTGGCTGGACATGGAGATGGATAAAGTGCTGGAGCAGCGCCAGGCCTTAGATGAGCTGGAGGATGAACTGAGGAAGCGTGAAGCTATCGTGGCCAAAAAGGAGGCTCTCCTGCAGGAGAAGAATGGCCTGGAAAGCAAGAGGTTGCGCTCCAGTCAGGTAGGACAAGAGTGTGACATCTGTGTCCCTGCTTCATTGTCAGCAAAGGTGGGAGGCTGAAAGACAGCGGTGCCACCTGGGGCTGGCAGAAAGCTGCACGTCGGGATAAGGTGACGGTGTTGGGAAGGGGGAAGGAAATCTGCTTGTGCTGCACCTCACCGAGTTATTGTGATAGTGCTTGGTTTAATGGTGCAGTAGAAAGGGGCTGGGGACTTGACTTCCCATTAGAGCAGTCAAGCGTAGAATCATTAAGGTTAGAAAAGACAACTAAGATCACCAAGTCCAGTGCTCAACCCACCCCACCGTGCCCACTGACCACGACCCTCAGTGCCACATCCCCACGGTTCTTGAACACCTCCAGGGATGGTGACTCCACCACCTCCCTTGGTAGCCTATACCAGCACCTCACCACTCTCTGATAATATTTTTTTCATAATGTCCAACCTGAAACATCTTTTGCAGGCCCTGACAGATGACATAGTCCGTGTGTCGAGCCGCCTGGAGCACCTGGAGAAGGAGCTCACAGAGAAGAACGGGCAGCTGCGCCACGGCAGCGCCCACGACCAGCAGCAGATCCGTCAAGAGATCAGCAACCTGCGCCAGGAGAAGGACCAGCTGCTCAAGCAGAGGCTAGAGCTTGACAACAAGCTGCGCCAGGGCACGTTGCTGTCCCCAGAGGTACCTGCTCTTTGGCTGGGCAGATGCTCCTCCGCGTCCCCAAATGGCGCACGTCCCACCTTCCCGCCAGCATTGTCTTGGCTGTGAGATGATAAAGGAGGTAGGGATGGGGGTCGCATGGGAAATCCTTTGATCTCTACTAACTGCTGCTCTGCATTTGCAGGAGGAGCGGATCCTGTTCCAGCTGGATGAGGCAATCGAGGCTCTGGATGCAGCTATTGAGTACAAGAATGAATCCATCACATGCCGGCAGCGCGTGCTGCGGGCCTCAGCCAGCCTGCTGTCCCAGTGTGAGATGAACCTCATGGCCAAGCTCAGCTACCTCTCCTCTTCTGAGACAAGAGCTCTGCTCTGCAAGTACTTCGACAAGGTGGGAGAGAATGCTGTCTGTGCTGGAGGGAGCTGTAGTGTGTGAACAACCTCTTGTTTTCCTCCGCTGCCTTTTTTTCCACCCTGCAGAGCTACATGACCCTTTAAGTCCCTGCTTCTCCCAACACCTGGGAACAGGGTTTAAGTACCAGGGATAGGATGCATACGTCCCTGCAGGGCTCTGCCACGCCAGTGTAGCCACACATTGCTTTTCTTTCATATGATACACTAAAAAATCTAACTTGGTGAAGCACAGCAGGGTGAGGAAAGCTCAGACTCTGAAGAAGCTTGCTTTTGTGCCCTGGCCAGGTGGTGACGCTGCGAGAAGACCAGCACCGGCAGCACATTGCCTTCTCAGAGCTGGAGATGCAGCTGGAGGAGCAGCAGCAGCTGGTGCACTGGCTGGAGGCGGCCGTGGAGCGGCAGCGCCTGGAGATGGACCGGCAGCTCACCCTGCAGCAGAAGGAGCACGAGCAGAGCATGCAGCTGCTGCTTCAGCAGAGCCGTGGTAAAGGCCCAGTTCCCAGGACAGCACTGTTGTTGCCTTTCCTAGGGCTCGCAGCTTGCAGTATTGATTGCAATGACCTGGTTTTCCCTTGCAGAGCACATGGAGGAGGGGCTGGCCAGCAGCAAGCTGCAGTACGAGGGGAGAATCCAGGTGCTGGAAAAGGAGCTGAGCCGTTACATGCGGGCAAACCAGGAGCTGAGCCAGAGGCTTAATAGCATTAATCTCCATCCAGGAGCAGCCAAAGGTGAGAACAGGCACTGGGGGGTGCTTTTCCTACCAACTTCAAGACAGGATTTTAAATTCTTTTCCCCAGTGGGAAGACAGCTGAGCCCTCAAGGAATAGCACCGGCAGGGAGCAAGCACTTTCCAGGAAGCAGTCTGATGTAGCAGTAGAGATCCTAAAACTAATCTCGCTCTTTCCCAGCAGGGATGGAGAGAAATGCACTCACAGGGACCTGTGAGGAATTCAGCCACGTGGAGCTGCCCCTGCCTCCTGCAGAAGAGAACCATAGGGGCAGGGATGAGAGCAGGGACCTGGTGCATGCTCCTCTGCCTGCAACATGGAGACGTTCCTCCCTGCCCACCGACAGCACCGGAGACCCGAGGCATGAGGTGCACTTGCCCCGCAGCCTGGGCCCTGCCAAGCCACGCCGGGAGCCGCGCAGAGCCAGCCTGAACGTCCCCCCCCTGCCTTACCACCCAGCAATGATCGATGTTAGGAAAAATCCCCTCTAGGCACAGGCTTAATGCTTAGCTAGCACAGGGCAGGAAGGATATTGCTGGTGTGAGATTAGAAGCCTTTCTACCCTCTAAACCAGCCTGACGAGGCCCAAGAAAGAAATACAACTTTTCACTTGCAACAAGTGTGCAAGGTGTGGGACAGACAGTTTACACTGTGTTGCTGCCTGTCTGGGCAGCACTGATCCAACACTTTTCCTCCTGCACCCTCAGCATGAAGGGTTGGGAAGCAGGAGACACCTCCCACCCTGTCCTCTAACACTAAGAACATTTTTACAGCTTGGAAAACTCTGCTGGAGGGCCTTCTCAGCTTTGACAGCCTGAGAGGGAGATGCTCAGCAGTTCTGGAGAATTTGTACATAGATTTTTTTTGTAGTAACTTTTCTAAAGAAATACATTCCTACTGTAACTTTTCTAATAAAGCAGAGTGAGTTCTACGAAGCAGTGAAGCAGTCATTTGTCAGAGACTTCGTGGACATGGCATGTAGGAAAGATGCTTTGTTTAAAGCTCACTGCATGGGAACTCAGCCATGCAGTGCCACAGTGGTGCCTTAATGTTTGAGTATCTGGTTCTGTAAATGCTCAGAATAATCTGGACAAATACCTTCTCGTGAAAAGGCTTTTCATTTACTAGTTCAGCATTCCTTCCACTCATAGGGAATGTGGAAGGCTTCCTATATTAAGTAGGCAAAGCACCTCCAGACAGCAACACAGGTGCCTGAAAAATGCAGGATAAAAGCAGCCCTGGTTCAGCACCATTTTCTGCTCCTGCAGGACAAGAAATAAAAGCCCAAGTACCTGTTGAGGAGGGCAAGAGGGAGGGAAGCAGGCGCATGATTTCAGCTGAAATCATGAGCACTACCACAACTACTCTTCTAGACATAACACACTAAGAGCCAGCATCTGAAGCACAGTCACCTTCCTGCACACTTAATCTTGGCTGCAGGGCTGGTTTTGGTGCTTGAAACAGGGACTTAGCATTATTGAGCACTCTAGGTTTGGCTAAGCTGCACATTTAAGATCAGAGCCTTTATTTTCTACAGAGATATTCAGTAGAGAAAGGGAAAACTCATCCTACTTTCTCAGAAATAATTAGTCTTAGAGCTCAATACTTCCCAAAGCTCATAAGAGAAGTGCACCTATCACTTCAGGACACTATTCCTCCACTTGAAGAAGGAAACAGCCAGCTTTCCTTCTCTGAACAAATAGGGTTTCCATGAAGCAAATACCTTTGCATGAAAAGCAAGTTCCATTTGACACCATCAGCCCCTGAAGGCCTTAAAACCAATCAAAAAGCTTCAGAATTGCCATGCCTGGATTCAGGATGAGACAAGCCAGATTTCTGATGAAGCGACACAATGAGAATCCACATCAGTTTATTTTATAAGTAAAGTAGAAGAGTGACAATTCCCCCTCCTTACCTAGCAGGATTGAACCCTTCACTGCAGAACTCAACTACTAACTATACACAGGAGAAGAGCCAGAAAGGGTGGAGAGATGCTGCGATTCAAGTTAAAACATTTAGAGTAGTCCTTATTTCCACTGCCATCCCATCTCACACCACTGCAGACAGCTCCAGGCCAGAACCAAATAAGAGTTCCTTGTAGAAATCCATACTGCACAGCTCACATAACACAGTACTTCCCATAGTGTTCTGGCTCCAGACTTCAGCTCAGCAACCTTTTCCGTGAGTAAGTCCTGCTGAGGGAACGCTTCCTGGAAGCCATGCTGTGGAATGGAGACAGCTCCTGATTGGTAAGAACTTCAAGGTCATCAGATTCCTCATCTACAGAATGCAAAGATGAAATTAAAGCCACAATTTATTACAACTCACTTCCCAGTGACTCCAAGAAAACCAACACAGACAGGATCAGCACGCTGCACTTCTTAAGCTACTCTTTGATCATTGCTTATGCCTCACCCTCCTCAACTTCCCAGCTCACGCAAAGCTTATTGGAAGCATGCAAGATAGACACGGTACAACACAGCAATGGCAAATACACCCACACGCTTTCTGCACAAAGAACAACCCGTAGCACAGCCTGCTTTAGTTCTCTCTTAGTTGTAGGCACGCAGAGCACAGCCCAGCCTTTCCTTCCAGCACCAGAGGTTACCTTGGACACCCTTTCTCCGAGATGGCGGCATCTGTCCCTTACACAGCAGCGGAGACTGCGTCAGTGCCAGGAGGCTGCTGGCACACAGAGAGCTCTTCACTGGAGGGGTGGCACCTGGAGAAGCACAGTGACAGACTGCAGCAAACTGACTGCTCAAGAGCTCTTTCAGTCAAGTCTCAAACACAGCCCTTACTCTGCCTTGAAGCTTCCATCAGCACAATACTCGGTATTCATCCCCAGCATAGTCCAGGCTAGCACAGTGCATTTCTGCCACCAAAAGATGTCTGCAATAGCTCTTGAAGGATTTAGCTTAGTAGGCAAGCACTCTACTTTTACTAAACGTATCGTTGCTCACAGCTCAAGTGTCCTGAATGAAAAATCACCATTACAGCCAGTCTGTAAATGCAAAAATAAGGTTTGCAGGTACAGATGGTCCTCTACAGAACCAACTCGAGGTTAAGCACGGCTGTTATTTCACACCTTGAATATGGTCTAATGTTGCCTTCAAGTTCACTCATTTTTTTTTTTTGGTGATACCTGTTGTAACACCTAAGGCACTGCCCTCTGTGAACAAAACTTTTCTTCTAAGAGATAAGACACTGAGATCTGGCACTTCAGGGCACACAATGACTATAAAACACCATCTGCCATAGTCCTCTGTAAAGCTGAAGGTTGTTCTTGACAATAAATACTGTTTTAGAAGTATTTGAAATTCACAGGGCCTTGCTCCAAGAGATAGCTTTATCAAGGTCAGGCACAAACGAAAAGCAGAGACCTTGCTTAAACTTCAACACCTGATACAATATCACTGCTACAGAGCAAAGGTTTCTGATACATGCTTTCAACAGCTACACTGCCACAGGCCCAGGGGAGAACTGGAGCACCAATAAATACCAACATCATGTAACATCAACCCCCAAGGCGCTGATCTACGCTGAAGAAGTCGAGGCTTTAGACTTGAGACAGCTGTATTCAGTGAGGGATAGAAACAGGGCAGAAACAGCCAAGAATATCCACATAAACTCAAATCTGCTGCCCAGTCTAACTTTCAAAACATACTGCAGTGTAGTGCTGCCAGTCCCTTAAGTCATGGTTTCCATTCCATCCTGAGCACTGCAGCTACCTTACAGCATCTTTTTTTCCCCCATTCAAGTTTCCAGTATTTCCTCCTACAGACAGCATTTGGTTGTAACAGAGATCCTCCCTTAAACAAAACCAAGCTCTTAATATTTCAATTCTTCCAGCCTCCCACTCTTCCCTGTTTGTAGCCTCTTAATTATTATTCCACTGATTAAATGCTCACAGGTGATGACAACAGAACTCCTCACACCTGATCAGCCTCTCCACATAATTAGCTTACATTCCATTTGCAACCCACTCTCCCCTTCCATCTTAGCCTCCCTCAGACAGTCAGACAAAACAGTTGTCTTTGTTTTCTCCCCACTCTGAATTTCAGTAGTGTCACTTGTTCCACTTAATTACCTGACAAAGGGAAGACATCATCATCCCCTCTGCAAATGCGCCGCACAGGAGTTAGAAGCAAACACGCTCTGGGCTTCTCAGGAAGTACCGAGTCTGTCCTTGCTTTGTTTCTGTTGCCCTCTTCTGGGGAAAAGGCACTGAGAACCATGTTGCACTTAGCAGTGCAAGCTCTTTTGGCCTCATGATTCTCCTTCTCCGGTGATAGATGGGTAAAGACTCGCTTACGAGATGTCAAGCCAGAAGCCCCCATGGCAGATCTCTCTTCATCTCTGGGTTCCGTGTCATTAGGAGACACTTGATCCTGCAGTCTGTAAATCCCCTCCAGTCCAAACTCTCCAAAGCCACACATTACTTTGCTACTGCAGTTCTCCAAGTCCTTCAGTTTTCCTTCTCTGCTTGTTGCCATTGCTTCATCTGCATTTTTCTCACTTTGACCACAGCTACTATTAGCAGTGCTGCTTGCTGCTCTCTTTCTCCGAGGCCAGTCCTTAATAGCATCAGGAGTTGTCTTCCCCTTCAGCTTTGGAGGAGTCAAGGGAACTTCTGCTTCCAAGGGGGACGGGGAAGTGGTGTTAGAAGCACAGCTTGTTGGGGTGTACGACTGACATATGTAGGTCTGCCCTCCACCCTTCCCAGGTGTACCGTGGAAAGAGCGAAAGCAGGAGGGTGAAACACAGGCAGCTGCTAGTTTTCCTGGGTGTTTGCTGCACCAGGTCATAGCAAGATCACCAAAAGGGCTTTCCCCTCCCTTGGGTTTGCTAACATTTGCTTCAGATCGAACATCTAATGCTGAGCAAGACCCAATTTTCTTAAAGCGAAGTTTGGGCAGGCCTGAAGCTTGCATTTCAAGCTCAACTTCATAAGTCGTTGAGCTCTCAGAAGGCTGCTGGCAGTGAAGTTTAGGAGTTGAGAACTTGGCTGGAAGCTCTGGATTTCCCATCCGCGCTGCAGCCTCCCGTTGCCTCCTGTCTGCAGTACAGCGCAAGGAATAGGCAGGAGCTGACTGAGGCAGGCGACGCGAGGCACTGCGGGCAGATCTGGAGTGTCTCTTAAGACTCGGTGCCTTTCTCCCTGTACATTCTTCTTTCTGCAGAGTTTCTGGTTCCAATTCATCGATGCTTGTTTGAGAACTGCTTAAGAAGGAGTCACAGGTGCTTACACCGGAGTTGCCCTCCTTACTCGATGGCTCACATTCCATCTCAGCATCCAGCATATGTTCTCCAGCAGACAGCTCTGGAGAAGAATGCTTTTCCAAGTTTTCCTTCGTCGGAGAAGAGTTTTGAGCCACTGCATCCATTTGTTTATTCTCCCCCACATGGGTATTTCCAGGAATTTGGGATTTACAGAACTGGAGGCTTCCTGAACAAGAACCATCACTGTTACTGTGATGACTGTCCTTACTTTTGGAAGGTGTTTCACACACCCGTGTTTGGCTCTTCCCTCCAGAATTTGGTTCACCTTTGGCCTGCTTGGAAGTGTTAAGGGGGGACTCCAGCAAAGAGCCACTGACACCTGGAGATTTCAGAAGAGATTTTTCAGGCATGTTAAATTCCCTGTCAGACTCCTTAGTCTCTGTGTGGGAAGGAGAGCTGATTGCTAAAACATCTGTAGCTTTTTCAGAGAGAGGAGAACTGAAGGGAGATTCCAGTTTCATGGTGAGCTGAGACATTTCTACATCACTCAGCGGGCTGGTTGAGAGTTTTGAACCTGAATCTTCAGCTTTCCTGGGAGTACTTTCCATGGCTTCAGACGTCAGTTCTGGCTGCATCTCAATTTCTCTTGGAAGGATTTCCCTCCGAGCACCAACTGGAGACACTGATTTGGAGACGGATCTCAAGGAACGTCTTGGAGTTCGTAGTTCTGCAAAAATGCTTTTCTGGGTGTCAGGTAAGGAAGCAGCAGCTGGAGTTGAGTCTTGCAGAGGTAATAAAGGATTCACAGTGCTCAGTATTTCATTGTGTTCTGGCACCTGTAAACCAGTATCTTTGTAGGAAGATAACAGTTTTCCAGCTGGAGGACAGTCGTTAGTTACTTGCAGTAAGCAAGCTTTTTTGCCTTCTGTTAACGCAGATGGTGACCTGATCCTTTGTACAGGATGAGAAAAGTACTTTCCCAAACACTTAGCTACAGTCTGCTTAGCAGCTGGACTTTTGCTGGGAATCTTCTCCACCTTTTGTGGTGTCCTGTGAAGAAAACGAGGTGATCTCCTCGGCGGTTTGCTGGCAGAACTCAGTAGTTTCTGTGCAGACTTACGAGGTGTTTTTCTAGGAGTCTACAGAGAGGAGAAAAATAAAAAAGAATTAAGCTTGTTCTGCTCCAGTACTGTTATTTATTCTTCCAAATCTTGAGAAGTGAATAAAAAGTAAACTGTTTTGTTAGACTTGCAGAAGCACTAAGTTTAAGACACGTAAGCCCCACTAAACATTAATAGAATAAACAGATTGAAGAAAGAGAGAGAAGCAAGTGTTTGTCTCTACCTGACAGCTAGTCAGCTCTTCTAAGTTCAAGGAATCTTTTCTTGTTCTCCTCCTTCCAGGTGAATGCTTCACTGCAGGACTACACGCATCAATGACTGCACCAAAAAAAAATCTCTTGGGAGTTGGACACCCAGAATGCAGCCTGGCACCTAGAAAAGTGGAATGGTACCATTCAAACAATTGTCTCAATCACTTCACAGTGTAAGGACAGGTAGCCTCTCACAGCCCTAGCAGGTTTTTTTTGCTTGATGTTTAAGATTCAGTAGAATTATTTTCCAATCTAATAATCATCCATAGGAGGGGTGCTCTAGAGGAAAAAAAAAAACACCTAGATAGCTCAGCTTCCTATTCTGTTTTATAGCTCATAGCATCAGAAAAATTTGGTTCATAACTAAGGATCCTAGTAGATATGATATAAAGAACTAAGTGTCACCATGTATAGCTGATAAATCCTACAGAGAAAGTCTGCAAAGATGCCATCAGTCATTGCTTTACGCTGCCAGAAGAGACCGAAGGTAGCTTTAGGATTTCTGTCCCACATTTTACAGGGATTTCACTGCATTTAAGGAATGCAGACTGACAATCAGTGATGTTCTGTTAGACAGGCCTGACTAGTTTCTTAAGTTGGCAGTATATTATTTGTTATAGAGAAAGCTGCCATTCCATCCTCCAAATTCAGATTCTCAATTCAAATACTAATTCTCAATACTAATATTACTCAATTCAAATATTACTAATCCTGCCTAAAGATGACATTATATAATAGCTCTTAGCTCCTCACAGTCTGTTGTAGAGCCAAATCAAATCAAACTTAGAGGTATCCAGGTCAGCTTTTCAAAGCAGCAATATAAGCCTACTCAAAATCCATTTGGTACCTGCTACATCCTGCTGAGTACAGCGCTCTTCCTCTTGTCCCCAGTGGACTTGCTGTGAATTCTGTGAGCTGGACTGTGCAGCAGAATAGAAAACACCAGAGTGGGTCCTATTCAAAGTCAGCTGTCTGATGCGAGGACTTCTTCTTAAACCTGCTTCTGAAATGTAATATGACAGACTGAGCCTTCTTTCTCCTTCAATGATGGGGACATCTTTAGGAACAGATCACAGTGGAAAAAGGCACGCTCTAAGCAGCAGCTTTTGTATGCTTAACATCTCACATACTGAGGCATTTGTGTGAAAAGATTCAGCTTTCAGGGGCTTTGGAATGCTAATGCATGCAAGCCTCCTTCCGAATCACAGCACTCTGTCCTCTAAGTCACGATTACTTCCCTTCCCCTCCAGCAATGACACCAAAAGGAATACTAGAAAAATCCATATTCGGTTCAAGTAGCATCCAGATTACAAAATTAGTTCTCCTGTCTCTTTTTACTAGAGACTTACTTTCCTATTTACCCAACTATACTCTTTCTCTTCTTCCTTCCTGCACATAAGAAACAGCAGCAGCCAACTTTTTTGCAGAACACTTGCTTGTTACAACAGAAATCAGAGCATTATTAGGGCCCAGCCTGGCCCTATCCTCTTGATACCCATCCTTTAGATAACTGGGGATGTTGTGCTCCACCAATAGTAATGCTGTATTGCCTGTCTGTGCATTATCTAAATTGTAGCTCATGGGATGAATGTGCTTTGAGTGCTTCAACACAGCAAGAACACCTTTCACAAACAAAAGAAATTAGTGCTTACCACTTATGGTTTTTTCTGGAGACTCTTCTACAACACCAGTCTCACAGCCTGGATCAGATGACCTTAAGAAACAACACAATGTTGGACTCAAACCATTCACATTTACAAAAACAAAATTTACCATGAAAACTGAGAAGCAGAACCATATTCTACAGCAACATATTGCTCTGTGAGGTACTCTCATCTCAGCAATTAGCATAATAGAAGGTAAAGTTCATACTATGGTCTTTCTAGCTGTATTAGAAGTAGCAGTTTTAAATGGAAGTAAACACAAGTTTTAGCCTGACCTGCACAAATTCCAGCACAGGCCTTCTCTTTGGAGGTCCTTAAAGCAGAAACTAAACCTAAACAGCACCTTGCTGCAGGAATTAAAGTACTTGGACACACAGTGAAGCAAGCAGATTTTCCCCACAGCCATACAACAGGACATGCCTCCACCAATTCTCTTTGCTACCTTAGGTGAAAACAACACTTTGACCACAGAAAGGAGAGCTGGTTCTCGTGCTCATAGCCATTAATTAAACATCCAGCACTTACTGAAGAAATTAAGAGCTTACTCACCGGCCTTTAATCTGCTTATGCAGCAGTCTCCTGGAGACCTGTTTATGTAGTGGTGTTTCTGCAACTCTCTTGGTCAGTAACTTGTGATGATCTTGAGAACAGAAGTAAATAAATGGAAGCAATGGATATAACAGCACATATTTATAAAGCAGTTAGAACAAGTAGTTTCACATGGGTTTCAGCTTAAGAATGCCTGCCAATACAGAATCATTGTGTATCAGCCCCCCAGCACTCACAAGCTATAATCACAGCTATACATACTGGACTCTGAAATATATCCCCTACTCCTTCAGTATTATTTATTAATGGTACTGACTTTGATGTGACAGACATAATAGGCCTACTGAGGTAACTTTCATTCCTCATCCTTCATTCACACATCATTTCTGTAACTATTTATAACATTTCATTTGAGAGGTGTATCAACTTCTAACTAAAGTAGGTTTCTGTTTCAAAACCATCCTATTCACTATACAGTAACAACTGTGATCCAAAACGTTTTCTCCTTTACTGAAAAGGATGCACAAATTAGTTATCAATGCAGCTCTTATAGCTGTTCTACACCTACAAGCCATATCCTACCTTTAGCCCCTTCATCAGTGCACTTGTATCTTAAGCCTTCCACAGCAGATACTGACTGACTTCTGGGCATTTTCTTTGCAGTTCTTTTGGATGGTGAACGCATCCCTTCATTGAAGAGGTTCCTCCTTACCTTCGTAACCTCTGTGCGAGGAGAGAAAGCAAGAAATTAAAAGGGGAAAAAAAAGACATATTTCAATCAGGGATCAGATACCAGTGTAGGAAAAAAACCTACAAAAATTAGGCACATTGGGAGGGGCTGCTTGTTTGGGTTTGTTTTGGCTTTTTTTTTTTTTGTCTTGAGGTGGAGTAGTTTATTAGAATATAAGAATTATAAGAATAGATCTTATATATTCTTATCTTATATAGAATATAAGAATATAATAGTTTATTGGAATATAGTTTATTATTATTGGAATAGTTATTACCAGAATGTGTCCTTCCCTAAATCTATCTTGGACTTCCTACAAGCTCATATTATTCATTCTTTACAGGAATATGCTATTAGCAGGCATCCCAGCAGAAAGTATGCTACCCAGATTAAGTACACGTGGGCTCAGGGAACACATACAGGATTTAATTCTCTTAAACATTCTGAGGAGAGATGTGTTTCCAGGTGTAAACGCTTTCTCCTGTCCTCAATGTTTTTTTCCAATAGATGGAAATAATTGCAAGAACCAAGGAAGACCTGAGGCATTTTCTTTTCATGATACAAGTTTGCTGTGTGTAAGCACACAAAACAACTACTTTTTTAACTCTCAATTTTATTTTCTTTTTTTCAAAATTCAGCAAAACTTCCTTCAGAATTCCAGCACGCTTCAGCATGATTGCACCACAGCTCACTGAAATTTACAGGGATGCAGGGATAATGTGCTGAAGGCGCACATCTTTTCTTTCCACAGAAAAGCTAGAAGTCAATATACCTTGCACTGCTTCTTTCTGCAGCAAAGGCATTGGTTGGGATTTCTCAGTAGCAAGGTAAGAACGTGAGCTCTCCTAGAAATAAAGAGAACAGTGATAATTAAATTAGACTCCTCAGTAGTTCTTATATGCCTACTGAGTTACAAAGCAAGATCTTTTTTTGCACTCGTGTCACTTCACAGCACTGCTACACCCCTGCATGAGCAACCCACCCACAGTGCTTCTGGGAGAGTTTTACCTTTCTGATGAGATTCTTGTCTATCTTGGGAATCTCAATCTGACGCAAGTTCTGCGATGCTTCTGTCATGCTCCTGTGTCTGGCTAATACATTATTCCTTTAGAAGTTACACAAAGATTCAGTTAAAATAAGATCAGAAATGGAGTTATCAATCTAACTGACGATTCAACACCGGCTCGACTCCAGAGATAGAAAGCCTTAACCTGAACTCAGACTGCAAATTCTCTGTGGCGGTACCTCGCCTACATTACAACTCATCTGCAATATAAACAGCTGTAGCTAACTTTAAGGTTGGTATTAAAACTCATCTCATAGTTTGCAGAAATGAACACAGGATCCCCACCACAGAGGTCCACAGCAAATCTCAGTCTTAACTTCAGTGATACAGGGTCACTTCGTGCATACTGGAACATCCTCTTCCTCTTACAGAAGACTTACAAACTCTATTAATGCATAGAGCAGACACACAGAACCCACCAAGTTCACACTAACGATAAGCACACAGTAACAATAAGCAATTAACGTGAAAAACAGGAGTCCTTTCTATGTTCCTCAGGCTCAGAGTTCTCAGCAAGCATGCGCTCACCCTAACTAGCTTTTCAGCAACAGAAATCAGAATGATTGAGCTATAGTTCAGATAGCTCCACCAACACAGGTCAGATCACAACCAGCTGGCTCCCTTATTTGGGATTATTACTTTCTCTTTTGGGCAGATCGAGTGCGCAGTTCCTCCAGCTGATCACTCTCACTGCGTAGGCAAACAGCAGTGGGAGTTAGGACTGATGATAAAGATGGTGGAAGGCCTGGAGATTTGCTATCCACAGTCATTGAATCATCACTGAAGAAGTCTGAAGGCAGGACTGCAGCCAGCTTTGGGGGTATTTGTGTACCCAGACTGTAGTAAAGATCTCCAAGGGTCTTTGGTATAGAATTCATATACCTAGAACATCAGAGAACCCACATCAAATACAATCACCAACAAAACAGTCAACACTAACAGCCCCAAGGCTTGAACCAAAGCTTTGTTTTTAAGCATCAGTTCAAAACATAAAGCATTATTAGTTTACTTGCTCATTAGCTACATTTAGCAGCAAACAATAGTCTAAACCCTCAACATCACAATAACACACCAAATCAAATCTGTACATTGCTGTTCTCTCAAAAAAGGTATGTGACAAAACCCACAGTACCCAGTAACATTCAAGGCACCCCAAAGAACTTACAATTCCAGTATTTCCTCTAAGAACTTTGTAAGGTACCCTGGGTCTTCAGTCAGACATAAAATGCGCAGCATATCTGTCATCTGGAAGAGAACATCAAGTGGAAAAAAGGATTAAGGTGTAACAGTTGTCAACACCACGTTTTTAGCAAGGAACATAGAATGTCACAATAGATTCAGGGGAAAATTACAAGTCCTGGGTCTATATTCCTGCTCTCTACAGTATACTTACCTCTTCTAACAGCTGCTCCATTTCATCAGCATTGTTTTGCAGTGAAGGGCACTGAAGACACAACTCAAGCCGCAAAAAAACCTGAAGTCGACACCTTAGAAAAGAAGCAGTCATTTACTGCCCAGTTTCCTGGTGGGAACAGGGTATTTACCCCAAAACAATTGCTCATAAAGCAGTAAGGTCTGGACAGCATAATTTGGTTGGCACTTCTTTTGGCAGCAGGAGAGATGCCACATTTTACCTTTAGGCTGCAATGCTTATCATATAACGTACATGTATTTGCATTTAATGTTTCTATTTCACCACCGTAAGTATTTTCACTTGCACAAAAAAGCTACCACTGAGAAGTGCAACCAACTCCAATGCATCTCAGGAGTTAAAGGAAGTAGGGTGTCTCATACTCTCTGACTTTGGTTTCCTTCTCTGAGCCATCCTGTTGTCTGAGCAACTTGCTTGTCTTCAGGAGATGGTTTCTGACTTTTTCCACACAGGCGACCTGCAGATACACACAATTAGAGCAAAAACGTCAAGTCTGCTCCTTGTATGCAGGACAGGTTCTTCCCACCCCTCTCTTCTCCCAGTCTTTTTAGAACAACTTAATTTTGTTCTCTTCCTTCAAGGAAGGAATTCTCTCTTGCTTCCAGTAGTAAAGTCACAATGCAAGGTGTAGAAAAACATACAGCCTAATGACAAGAGGCACAGGGTTGCTTGCAGCTTCAGGCTTTCAGTACCTATGGATCTGTCTCTGAAAGCACTTGCTTTGACTAGTGACAATCTTACCAATTCTAGCTAAAGCCAGCTACAATCCATAACACTACTCAAACTGAAATACTTTTGACTATTTCTCTCCCTTGGAGAACTAATCTGCCTAGATTAACCATGAAAAGCAAAAACAGACACCATATTTTAAGAGTTGTCTTATAAGAATTTTCTTTTTTGAAAACGCTGTCTTTAAATGAAATGAAAATCCAGATGGAGGTCAATGTACGGGGAAACAAAAATCTATTTCAATGTGTTACACAGAGGTGTAAACTACTAGCTGAAATGGATTACCCTGTGTTCTTTATTCATACTTTCTACTACTGATTCAGCACAGATAGAACAACTTGTTATGGTTTTCACCAAGTGTGCATATAAATAACTTACACTGAAGGAAAAGTAGTTTTAAAGACCTTGCTGCTTCATACTCAAACCAGTAACAGCTCTGCTCACGTGTTCTTACCTACCTCTTTCTCTTTGGTATCCTGTATTTTCAAGAACCTTTTAATGGCCATGATCATATTCTGTGCACACACAGATGAAAGCACTTCCTCAGCAACCACCTTTTGATAGCTCCTAATTAAGTGAGACTGCAGCTCCTCTTCAGTTTTCAAGTCTGAAAGGGAAATGGTCCACGTCAACCAAATATCAGCTTACCACACATTACTGGTAGAAAAAAAATAAACTAACTCCAGCTGAAGAACAGAATACAGGTCATGATGCAAATACACATGCAAGGCTCAGAACACTAACAGAAGTGGTCTTAGCTCCAGAACAAATAGAAACTTCAGACCCAAGCATTTCACCAAGCTTCTAGGCTACTGTAATGTCTCACTGCTCACAGCACCAGCCCTGTGCAGCTGCAAGGAGAAGCCTTACCCCACATCAGAATAAAGGGTAAGTCAGTACACACCTACTGATGTTTTAAGTGCCTTTTCCTTCCCTTCCAACTTCTCATCCAATCTTTTTGCTGGAAGCTTCTGTGGAACCTTTTCGCTCACTGCTGGCATACCATCAGGTTGAAACTTCTGTGCTTTTACATTCAACCTTGCTACGTTGAGCATCTGCAAGGATCTGGACATGGTCTTCATCTTCTGCCTGACTGGAGTCCGAGGAACCCCACCTGTAACACCACGAGAAGGGAATTTCAGACACACTGGGTGGGGTAGGAACTATTCTATCAAGATAGAACACAACATAGAATTCTGCACTGCAGTCAAGCAAGATAAGTAATCAATAGTTAAGAACACACTCTAGAAGGTTTTTATTTCTCCATAAAACAGATGTACAAGCAGCACAGGAGGCAGCAAGTTCTTAAAGCCAAAAGCAGATGAAGGCTTTTGCCCTGCTTATGAAGTAGAATTGGCAGCTGTATATATAGGAAAGAAATCTTGTGCTGACTTAAGTATACATCAGATGAGTTCATATGCACCTTTGGTTTGTACATTAAAAAGCAATGAAACTCTTATTTGAAATTTCTCCACTTTCAAATGAAGTAGAAGTGTTCCAATGTTCAGAAGTTGCAGCAGTCTGTTCCAAGAACCAGTGAAACTGCAGAGCTCTGCTCTCTGCTCTCTTCACAGATCTGCCAGTCACCGAGCACCCTGCATTTAGGAGTCATTTGGATTGTTCTAAACAGTAATACTGGTATGTAAGTTACGCTGCCTTTAAAATGGAGACAAAACCTAAAGCATGCCACTACTCGAGATCCTGAGCACAGAGCACTATGGTTTATGCACTAAGGCTTCTCTATCATCATTCCTGGACAAAATACACACAACCCCACACTGTACATACGTCTTTTTTTGTTATTTCCTGCTCCAGCAGATATTTCTCTTGATTTTCTTTGGTACAGCTCAGACAGACTTTCTGAAAGTTCCACTTCAGATTGGTCTGCATCATCCTTCACATTAGTACATGGAACCTGCAGGAGTCTGCAGACAAGGACAAGTCAATACAGGTATGAAAAGCAATGGAGAAGAAAGCACACTACTTGTCCTTACTCCACAGGACCTGTTTTTCCTACATCCAAGCAGTAGGGAAAACAATTCTATACCACAAGTAACACATGCCAGTATTCTTCCAAAGCCTAAAAGCCTTACCTAGGAAACACTGAGGAAAAACAAAAAGCAATCTTAAAAGGACTGCACCAAAGTGAAAAGAAGCATAGCATTGTTTCAGAAAAGTACCTGAATGAATCCATCAGATCTGAGCTGGCTCCACAAGCATTTGAAGAAGAATACCACGCTTCAAGCACTGAAGGGTGCCAGCCCTCCGTACTGCACAGCTCTCGTTTGACCCACTCTGGCATAGGACTTTCTTCTGAATAGAGAAATAAAAATATCAGAACAAAGCTCTAAATGAAATGGTAGAAAGCTTGGCCTTCACAAAGGCTCTAAGGCAGCAGTTCCCAAAGCTCTGCTCATGGAGGGGTAGTTTACTCGCCAGGCTTAGAGACTCATAAGATTCACAACAACACAAAACAGGTGAGCCAAATGCAGTTATCTTGAAAGCACTTGTAAAGATTTGACTGGCCAGGGATGATCCACGTGACAGTTTTTAGGAACCCTCATTATAAAAGCCTGCACCCATGCATGTGCAGCTGTGCTTTACCTATAAGCCAATAAAAACTAACACTGTCAATAAAACTGTAAAGTACATCAGAGCAGATTTCTGTATAGCAAAGCCTGAGCCACAAAAAAAAAAAAAAACAAGCCCCAAGAAATGAGGCTCCTCATTAAGGAACTCATAACTCATTAACGAACTCATAAGCACCAGAGTCTTCCACCCCAAATCAGATCTAGAGATGAACAGAAGACTTGCTTTGCATTTCCTAACACCTACCTGTAGTAGCCAGAGAGTCTTCCACTGCCATGTCGATTTCACTCAACACACTGTGTACAACATCCGGGAGGTGCAGAGCACCATCCTGGGAAGAGGTCTCCACTACAGCTCCCTCAAGGTTGCACCGCTGAACTTCAGCTGTCTTCTCAGCACAGAGCAGAGCGAGGACAGCAGCACTCTCAGAGAGTGGTGATAAAACAGCAGTGCAGGGGCACGAAGATTTAGCTTGAGACACTTCAGCAATCTACATTCAAAAAGAAAATGTATCTACATTTTCTAGAAATATACAGAGACTTAATTAGATGGATGTTCTAATTTAGCTCCAAATGACCAACTTGCTGCATAACAAATACCACTGCTATTGTCTTGATATGACATGTGAGACTGTCACCTTTCCTGACACAGTTCATTTAGAACTAGCTCCTAGCTGATGGCAAAGAGAAAGATTTACCATGTGCAGCTCTTTCATCACTAGATTCCGTAGCAGCTGATGGAACCAGTTCTGCTCTGTGCATTCAGTCTCAGAGCTTCTCAGTATCCAGCTCTCTGTGAGAAAGCTGACAGCCTGCATCCAGTTCCAGCTCATCGTGCTGCCTTTCAGGATGATGTTGAGTGGACAATGCAGTTGTCTTTGGCTCATGGCTAGAGGTTCCAGAATCACAGCACAGCTTTCCTTCTTTCCTTCTGTGTAAGGGTAAAAGAAAATGTAAGTCTAGAGCAGTACAAAATGTATTTCTCATCTATGTGAAGAGAACTTCAATGCAAGGAAGATGAATTGCAACATCACAGAGATCCACAGTGAGTTCCCTCCAGCTTCTCTCACGAAAGAGAAGAGTGCAGAAAGGGCCTACTAAAGAAAGAGCAGATGCACACAACATGTTGCTTTAAAGGTAATCTGTTTCTTTTGACAGGCCTTTCAATTAGTTTCTTTAGTTCAACCATATTGAAGACACTGAAATAAGCATGTAAAAGAGTGCTGGACCCACACTATAGAGGTGTGTGCAAAGAGCTCATCAGACTCCTAAGCTTCCCCAAAGTCTGGGTACATAGAGAGCAGACGAGGAATGCAGACCAATAACTCTGGTATGAAAGCAATTAGAGCACCTTGATAACTTTGTTAATCATAATAAAAAAACAGGTCTTTAAATACCTGAAGTTTCTGCCATACATACTCTTCACAACAGAAGCTCATCAAGAACTCTACATCACAGACCAATTATACTGTCTTAGAAAAAGAAGAAAGATTACCAGGCATGCTGAGAAATAACGTCCCTTCTTGTTGGGGGAACACTGCACGAAATACAGGGGGCTTTGAAAACAAACTGTTTAAGGCTGAGTCCAATGGCAGAAGTGTTGTCCATGGCACAGTCTGTGGCAGTGGGGAACCCGAGTCTCTGAGAAAGACATCAGCAAGGTCTGCCCTGTGGTGACTTGGACGTTGCACTAAGGTTTCAGATGGCAAAATGGTGCCTCCTATTTGCTGGAGCAGTTGGAGCATTATCCAGTATCCATCGTGATCTGGGGATTTAATCAGCTGAAATGAAGACACAGAAAAGCCTCGAGTTAACACTGCCCAAAGAGGCAGTGGATGTTCCACCCCTGGAAACATTCAAGATCAGGCCAGACTGGGCGCTGAGCACCTGAGCTGTTTATTACAGGAGAAGTGGACTAGATCTTTAAATGACCCTTCTGATTCTATGATTCTAATGATAACAGTGAGATTACATCCATACAAGCAACCAACAAGGACTGCACTGCATCATTTTAGAAGAACCAGCATAAGAAATCCATACAGAGTACCTCAATGCAGCATCTTCTAAGTATTTTCAGGGACTTGAACTTTCTCAGAAATCCAACGAAGGTAAAACTGCCACTGAATTAAGGTGTAAACGGTATTTTCAAGCGTGGCCTTTTTAATTTAGCATTACGGTACTCGAACTATTGGGCTACCACTCTGGATACCTGTAACTTCCACCCAACTCCAAGCACAAAACAGCCCATCAATAAACTGCTGACACAGCTCAACCTCCACAGGGATCATCGCTCCTCGTTTTCAGCCTCGCGCAGAACAGAATCACTCAGCAGTAAGCGAAGACCCTTCACACCTCCCCCACTCAACTGAGAACCAACGGGAGGACGGCACACAAACGCCTATCGGCACCGCAGCGAAGAGCCGCGCTCCCTTCGCTCCTCACCTGCGAACTCTCGGCGGTGTCCACCCAGTACAGCATGATCCTCTGCTCAGCCAGCAGCTCGCGGACGCTGCGGGGCAGCAGCTTCTCGGCCACCTCCAGTAGTGTGGGGGGCCCCGCGGGGGCCGCGCCGCCTCCGGACACGAACTGCCGCAGCTCCCGGCTGGAGCGGGGACACGGCGAGAAGAGGAACACGGCGTTCATGAAGCCGTCGCTCGGGGAAAGCTCCCCGCCAGCCCCGCCGCTACCGCGGGGCGCTTTGGCGGGGGACGCGATTTCGGGGCGGTCCCATTGGAAGTCGAGGAGCGTTTCCTTCAGGCCGCTGTGCGTGAGGGCGAGGCGGGTCGCCGGGCCGGGCAGCGCGGCGGAACCCCGAGCTACCAGCCGTTCCGCCAGCTCCTCCTCGAAGCGCGCCCAGGCCCGGGGTGCCGGAGGACGGAAGCCGCCGCCCCGCGAGGCCCCGCCGCGACCCCCGAGGGAGTCGAAGAAGCGGTAGGCCCAGCGCAGGCGGGGCAGGCCGAAGCGGCAGCACAGGTGGTTGAGGATGCGCAGGGCGCACAGCTGCAGCCGCTCCCGCTGCCCCGGGCTGGCGGTGTCCAACAAGAACACGGCGCTGGGTGAGCACGCCATAGCGGGCCGGCCCGCCCACAGCCGCTCACGGAGCGGCCACCCCTACGCGCCCACCGCCGCCATCATCCTCTCCAACCGCTCGCGCGCTCTCACCGCGCGCTCTGATTGGCCACCGCCTCGAGCCCACCCCCTCCGCTCCCGTTTCTCATTGGACCGCTGACGCAGCGTGGGGAGAGCGCGCTTGCGCGGTGAGGCGCCCGCGCCGCTCGCCACCAGCTGAGGGCGGAGCGGAAGAGCGGAGCGAGGGCGGCCATTGGAGAGGAGTTCTCCGCCCGTTGGCCAGCGGCCGTTCGCAGCGGGGTGGAGCGTGGCGTTCCATTGGCCACTGTCCGTGAGGCATTGAGGAGGGGGGTGGGGCCAGTGGTGCGAGCGAGCTGATTGGTCGCTGCTGCAAATTTAAAATTTAAAGGTGGGAGGGAGCGCGTGACCGTGACGTCACTGTTGTCACCTCCTCTCGGGCAGATTTGGCTGCTGAGGCCTCGGGGGGCGATGGGAGCTTCGCGGTGCTCGCCTGCAGCCCCGGCTCGAGCAGCCCGCCCAGAACCAGCGCCTGTTATAAAGCAACAGGAGCGGTCGGCTGAGGAGAAAAAAACAGAAACCTCGGGTTCACAGCCTGAGAGAGGGGAGTTCAAAGTCTGCCAAGGACAGGGAAATATAGACAACTGATCACAAATATGAGTGAAAAAACGGCAATTTAGGCACAAGTTTGCCGCACGTGAGATAATGTACCCCATAAGTGGCCTAGGAAGCATGCTGTAAGTGACCTCTAGGTTCTTTCGGGGCTGGTCACACACCAAACTGTGGGTATGGTGGTAACCAGACAGCAGCTGTCCGTGTCAAATCTGGTCTCTTCTACCCGTAACACACGAGCCCAGCAAAGTGGAACCGATTAGAAACTGCAAGGACCGATCTGTGAACAGCCACACATAAATAATGCGCTTCTGTTTGGGGGTGCTGCTTTGTGATCGATCCTAAGCACAGAATGCTGCAGAATTAAAACAGGCCTTCATGTGGGTTCCAAATTTGTGAGCAGTGTTAATGAGTTGGAACAGGGCTGGGGCTGTCCCACTGAGAGCAAGGAAGGATGCTGGCTAGGTGGGCAGCCCAGGGTACCTGGCCTGGCTCCAGCCCCAGCGCTCCCTTGCTGGCATCAGAGCCATTCCTTGGCTTGCCCAAGTCCTGTCCTGTGGGCCAGGAGCCGTGCTGGGGCTGCTCTCAGCCCCATACATCACTAGCATGTGCCAGCCCTGACAAAGAGCTTTTGAGCCGTCGCTGCCACTATTGGCAGCTGGCATACGTCCCAGCAGCCTCCAGGACACTCAGCACAGTGTGACCGAAACCGCCTTACCGTGGGCTGCCTGGGACCAGAAACACAGTCAGGGCATGGGGACAGCGTGGCAGTTCCCAGTGTGGCACCCTGCAGCCCTGCTCTGGTGACTGCCACCTCCCTTCTCCCTGTGCTGCTCCCTCCCTTCCCGCTCCAGGTGTTTGCTCCAGCTCTCAGGAAAGCCACAGGAGATAGCTGAGCCCCAGGGAACCTGTTTGTTTGGCAGCTGGAGCTGCTCACACCACTCCTTGTCACACTGCCCTGCTGCTCGCTGGATCGTTCGCCCTCTCCGCCCTCTCCCCAAGGACACCACTGACTTCTCTTTCCAGCAGAGTCATTGGACTCTCGCTGGGCAATCATTTACTTGCTGATAAATGCAGTTTCATGGGAAGAAGGGAAGGATGCCAGAAAAATCATTTGTAGATTGGGCTCACGTTTGGTTGGCACTTTGACTTGAAAAGTTTTGGTTTGGGGTTTTTGTTTGTTGGTTGGTTTGTTTGCTTGCCAGTTGGTTTTATTTTTGCTTTTACTTAGAAAATTCTTGATCCACTGTGACCTTTTACCAATGTTTCTGAGTGATATTTATTGGCAAGCCTCGCTGCGTACAAAACCCCACACCTAAATGAAAGATCTGATCTCCTGCTGTATGAACGCTCTCTTCAGCCCCAGAGGAAAGTTTGTTTTCTGTTCTGCCGAGCCAGGCAGAAGGTTTTGTTTTGGATTGCCTCAAATGCTTTGCTTACAGGACATTTCTCAAGGACCTGCACGAGAAAGAAGTCACCTGAGATGCTGCACGATGCCTGGGCACTGCCCAGTGCTGCATGAAAGCTTTGGATCCTCCCCTCATCCCCTCACCTTCCCCATGCTGTGTGCCCAGCACTGCTGGTAGTGGCTGCTGTTCTTTTGCTCCTAATTATGGAGGAGGAAATTGAGAGGATTGGATGTGCTTGCTGGACATTAAAGACCGCAGAGATGGCTTCGGTGTTGTGATTGCCTGCAATTGAGGCAAATTCCTTAATGGATGAGATCCGTTGCCATCTGTTTGCCAGCATGAGCTCCAGCATAAATCCAGGAAGGAGCAGGATATGTCCCACCACTCTCCCTCCAGACAAGGGTGATCTCTGGCACATACCTTCTGAGGTCACCTCTGGGACCAGTGCCTGTGTCCCAGCACTGGCGGTGATAAGATCTGCTGGGACAGTTCGCAGTGAACCAAGGAGTCCCCATGCCCTCCTCTCCTGGGCAAAACTGCCCAGAGTGCTCCGGGCAAGAGGGAGGGATTTCTGCACACTTCAGATTTTGTGTTTATGCCTCTCAAATGTTTTTAGTGCTCATAAAATTGAGAAACTGGAAGAGACCCAGCTGGGACCAGTACGGTACAACCCTCACCCAGAGCCTTCCCAAGGCGACCGGGACCTGCCCAGTGCCATGTCTCAGATCAGAAGGACAAATAGACCTGTTCCAAGTCCCCTGCACAACCCAGCTGATTTCTTTAGGAAATCTTGGAGGGGGGGGGGCCCCCCGCAAGACGCCTCTCAGATTCATTTACAGTCACATACATACTCATGGGGAAGTGGTGGTGGCTGAATCTCAATGGTGCTAATTGCTGTGAGGGAGGGGAAGCTTGCAATGAATCTCGTTTTATGGATGCTGGATGTGATGGGACAACCCTGATGTGGAGTTTCCAGTATTGCCCATTCAAGCAGCCTGAGAGTAGCTGCTACTGAAAGAGGTTCCCAAATTATGGGTACAAGCAGGTGAGGGGTGAGTCTTGAGTGCAAGCAACCAGCAGAGCATGCCAGCTCCAACAGGCCAGTAGAAGCATGGTGATGATCTGCAGATTGATAAGAAGGGGCCATGCAAGGCAGTGCAGCAAGGTGAGACTATCAGGCCAGTGGAAAAGCTATTATCTTTTGTGCTCTGCCTGCAGTTGGGGAGGGAGGCAGGGACAGAGCTACTGCCACAGGTGGCCCATGCAGATCCTCCTGGACTCTGCAAAACAGGGCTTTGCACATTTGGGAGACATCACCAATTCAGTGAGAACCCAGATTGGAAAGCTTTGCAGTGTGGTTTCTTCTGCTGAAATGTAACTATACAGTGTAATTGCTAGTGACTATGCTACCAGGATATAGCAAGTTCCTTTATGTTGTAAAATGCTCCTTTGTGTCTCTATGTCTCCTATCTCAAGATTTCTAAGAGCTGCTGCAGGGCAGGGTGGAAGTCTGGTCCTGGATGTTAGGAGAACACACAACTATCAACAGTGCTTCTGGCAATCAGAGCTTCAGTATTGCTTGGGGTTCAGCTTCTTGCTGGCTGAAGGTCTCAGTGTGTACAGCTGCAACTGCCCTGCAGAAATCACAGGTAATGGGATGCCCAGTGAAAGTCACATAGATAGCTCAGCTCAGCAGCAGCACAGCTTACCTGCTGCTCTACTCCCAGATGACCCTACATGGTACGCCTGTTGCTGGCTTGTTGTTCTGCCATAGAGAAGTGTTCCTTGCACCTGATCTGCATTTCCAAGGCTTTTTCCAAAGCCCTGTATGGGGCCCAAATGAGATCTGACAGTGATTTTATGTAGCCATCAGTCTCTTCAGGATCATCCCCAGCATTTTTCTGCCATTTGTCAGTTTGAGAAGAAAGGAAACAAGAAATAATAATCAACTCAAATTATTGCCTAATCAACACAGAAATCAGTGCTGCTTGCTCAGCCTGCAGGCCACAATTAGATGCCATCAGCAAATTCGGGCAGCTTGCCTGGGCTGCAGTCTTTCATCTCTGGAAGACTGACAGGCCTCTCTCGGATCTGCAGGCAGAGGAAGGAGCTGGGATGCGTTTGAAGGACTTGGCTCGTGGGGAAGGAACACATGGTTCAAAACCACAGAAAAAGGAAAGCTATGTTTAATATAACACTAAAGGAAGCCCTGTGCTGGAGGAGGGGACATGAACCCTGCAGCTGAGGGTTGTAGTGCCAAGCTCTCCAGCCCGCTCTCTGTGACCATTTCAAGGCACTGCCCTGGTCCACACAGCACCAGCTTAGCTTGCCCTGTCAAAAGGACAAGGTGGTTAAACCACCAGGAAACGATGAGACATGTCAGTTCTATATCCCTGTAGATACACAGCAGCTTTGGCAAGGTCACTGCATGCCTGCGCATGATCTTGACTTTTGGTTGGAAGCACCTATCTTCCTCTTCCTCTTGGGCCTGTCCCACAGTCTTTCTTCCCATCAGCAAACAGCAGGACCTGCACCCAGTGACTCAGGCTGACTTGGTATCCTCGGTTCTGGTGCTGGGGAAGGGCACATACAGAGCAGGACCAGTGGTGAGGGGAGAAGGATGTGATGCAGGCAGGGATGCTGCCAGGGTGACATGGTCAGGATGTCTGGCCCAGGTCCAGGAAGGGGACAGGAAAGGGTGTGGGGCAGGACTGAGCAGGGGGCTGGACTGGACACCCAGGCTCCATAGCTAGGAGTCCCTGGGGAGGCAGGGCTCATTACTGCAGCAAGCTGCTGGGAGAAGAGGTGCTGGAGCCCCATCCTTCCTTGCAGAGAGCAAGGAGGGTTAGAGCAGAGAGCAAGCGTGGAGCCTCCCGTGTCTGAAATGTGATCCTGCTGGAGGCACCTCCCTGGGCCCCACCTTGCGCTCCCCAACATATATATGTCACTCGCCAAGGGCACAGGGGACACGGACTGACACACTGTGCCCGGGCCCCAGCATCCCTGCAGATGGAGCGGCCAAGGCACCAGGGGATGGCAAAGAACACCTACATGCGCTGGCGGCTGCCACTCATCTGCCTCCTCTGGGAGGTAGCGATGATCATCCTCTTTGGGGTCTTTGTGCACTTCGGCCCTGAAGCTGATGCACACTGGGAGGAAGAGAAGCATCAGATGAACCTTACCAGTGACATTGAGAATGATTTCTACTTCCGATACCCCTGTGAGTATTCAGGAAGCCCAGTCCCGGTGTTGGCTGGCCACCGTCCTACCCCATCGCACCCCCACCCCATCCCATCCCATCCCATCCCATCCCATCCCATCCCATCCCACCCCATCCCATCCCATCCCACCCCATCCCATCCTGTCCTCTTTCTTGTTGCCTCAAGGGTTTTGGGAAAAGGTGATAGAGAGGTTTCAGGATAGTAGTTCTGAGTTCCTAAGTGATTCTTTTGTCTTTCCCAGTTAAATCTGGCTTGGGACAGAATCCGTCAGAGGTGAAGTCTGCAGTGACTGCTGGGGAGTTGAGCTTCACCTTGACACTGCTGTGGGGTGCCCCAAAGAATGAGAGAAGAGCCTTGTGGCCCTCCAGTGCTCTGGGGATTTGTCGACAGGGTGCCACCAGCATGTGATGCCTTTTCTCCAGGAATAAGGCTGACGCATTCCCAGCACCCTGCAAGTTTCAGCTTGCTGCCCCCTCGCTCAGTTTCCTTCTACATACGGAGGAACGGCTGTCGAGATCCTGTGACATCTTCCCCCTTTTCCTATGCCCTCCCCCTCACTAGCTCTTTAGCTGCTGCCATTTTGATGAGTCCTCCCAACCTGTCAGCTGGCCATGGTCCTTCGGTCACTATGCCTTATTGCCATGGGGATCGCTCAGGTGGTCAAATCTTTTCAGGCCAAGTGGTGCACTTGGCTGGCTTTGATCTCTGTGGCTGGTCATCTTCTTTGTGAGCTGATGGGAACAGGCTGCTTCTGTAGGCAATTGTTTCCAAGGAAGCAACGGGCTTGAGTCATGCATCTATTTAGAATATTTCCATTAAAAAACACCTGCTAAATCAAAGGAGCTATAGAAACCTGTAGCTGCTGAGGATTAACTGGTTCAGACAAGGATTTGCCTGCAGAAACTTGCTGCTCAGCTGACCTGGTTAGTATATGCTATGGCTGCCCTGAGCTCTCCTTCCAAACTACCTGTGGATGTATCCACACAGGTTGCTGTGAAGCAGCAGCAGTGCTGCTGTAATCTCTGACAGGACGGGAGAGCAGCAGAGAGGCCGAGAACGAGCCTGTAGGAGCTCGGGACACTGCGCCTGTACTGTCCTCATCTCCCATCTCCACTTTGAAGCGCCAAATATTCCCCTCTTAAATGGCTGAGAGGATTCACGCAGCTAAATCAGCCTCAGTTTAGCTGAGTTTTATCTGTTTCAAACCTGAGGAAGGGCTCACGTGTACAAAGATCAGTTTTGTTTTGGTTGTTTCTTCCTCCATTACATAATCAGAAAAAATCTCTCTGCAAAAATAGATGAAAGTGGTAAGATGGTAGAAGCCGAGCATTTTGATCCATGTCCATCCAGCCCTGTTTAGAAGAGAATGCAATGGCTAAACACCCGAGGATCATTTGTGCTATCACATCTGTGACTGCTACTGCCTGTAGGACCTGTCCAAAGACGCTGCAGTGGGGGAGCAGTGACAGCCTGAGATGATTAGCTACTGCAGGATGTTTGTGCGGTCGTGTCAGCGGTGCCCATTGCCAGGGCTGCCAGTGCAACGTGACACATTCTTCTAATTTATAATCACACATTGATACTCCATAGTGAGTGAATCATCTGCTCTCTAGGGAAAAGAAATGAGATCCTTCAGCACAGGTAGTATTCTCAAAGCCCAAACACCTCCTCTGGATAGTGACTGCAATTGCCTTCCCACAAAAGCAAGGTCACAATACCTCTTGAGCATGGCAGCACCTGGGCTGCTTGCAACACAAGTATTATTCTTCTAAAGGAAAAACAAAGGCAAGATTTAGAAAAATGCTTTAGGCTGGGTGCAGTTTGAAGAAAAGCCTGCTTTTCCTCCTGGGCATTTACAGGGTAGAAGACATGGTGGAAATTCTCAGTATTTTCAGAGGGCACACAGTCTGCAGCCCTAACTCCAACCTGTGTATTTCTGCTTTCAGGATGAAATTAAGAATACATATAATGCACACGGCTGCAGATAATTCTAGCTGCGTATTGTGTCACTTAGGCTTGAGAAGAAAGGTGATGAGAAAAAAATATAGCTGCAGAGGGAAAGTGTGTATGACTGCATGGTTAAAAGTAGAGTTAACAAGACCATTTCTTAGGGCGTGCAGAGAAGTCCACATGAAGAGACTTCAGCTGAGCAGGGTCACCTGCAGTCTAGTCTCCTTCATCTCTCATGAGTAATTTCATAGGCGTGGGGGCATTTCTGAAAGCAAACAAATTAACCTGTCTCAACTTGACACTACATCACTGGAGCCTGTCCAAATGCTTGTCCTTACACAAGTTGCAAGATCTTGTAAAGCACCAGAGGACAGAAGCCGAGACTTCTGCAATTGCACACACCCAAATCCTCAGCCAGCGCATAGCAGAGGCAGTGGGTGCAGCCCCACCATCCCTGCAGGAGGGCTCCAATGTTCCTGGATGGCCAGCATGCCTTAGAGCCAGCACAGGGTCAGGGGACACAGCAGATCCTTAATCACTGAATTTCTTCTGCCCTGAGCTTATTACATCTCCTGCTCTTTTCACTGGAGTGGCCTCCAGTGTGATGGTCTGCATGGTTCAGATTGTAATTATGCAGCATTTCAGCTCACTTAATTGCAAAGTGATGCTTATCTGAAATAAGCGTTTAGCATTAAGAAGTACAGCAGGTTTATCGCACCAAGAATTTCCCTCAAGAGGCTCATGCAGGTATAGTTTCCCCCAGGGAAGGGCATCTGAGGGGCTCCAGTTAGCAGGTATGAGCACTTGTTGGAAGAACTGCGTCTCTCTGGTTTAAGCACTCGAAATCCCACAGGGTGGGATCCTCCTGGCAAAAGTATCTTGCCACCGATTTCAGTGGCAAATAAAAACATATCTGTAAACTTTCCTTGTCTTTTCCCTAAGCGCTTGCACCGAGCCACCATCAGGACCCTATATTGCATAGGCTTACCCCGAATGTGTTTTAACCCGTCGTGGTTACAACAAAAATTAGTGTGGTTCATTCATTGGTACTGTTCATGGTACGTGACATTTCTGGAATTGTTTGGTTTTGGTTTTTTAATGGGAAAAAAAGACAATCTGAATAGAGAAGTTTTCCTTCATGCACTCCATTAGTGTCCAGTTTTCTCTTGCACACAGCTTGCAACAAAGATATTTGGGTTTCAAAACTGAACCTTTTCACCAAAAAGCCAGCTTCCAAAAGCCAGCCATTTTCAGACTTAGAAATGGGAGGATGCAGGGCAAATGCATACATTTTTCCTTGAATTTTTTTCCTTACAGCCACTGATGTTGTTTCCTTTCACTGCTAAATTCAATTGACAGCTCTGCCTTCTCCTCAGAACTGATGATTCCCTCCCTGTGCACAGCTTTCCAGGACGTTCACGTGATGATCTTTGTGGGCTTCGGCTTCCTCATGACATTCCTCAAGCGTTATGGATTCGGAGCTGTGGGATTCAATTTCCTCCTTGCTGCTTTTGGGATCCAGTGGGCCCTCCTGATGCAAGGCTGGTTCCACTCTTTCCAGAATGGGAAGATCCTTATTGGAGTGGAAAAGTAAGGAGAGATATGGGGTGCCACCTCTTGACTGTACAGTGGAAGAGCTGGGATGAGAGCCAGTGCCTGTCCCTGTGTTATGTGCAAACTGCAGCCTCCAAAATGTTGTCTTCCTTCTACATAACCCCACTTGCTTTCCACCTTTTAGTCCACAGGTACCTGTCTGATGGTGGTACTGTCACATGAGAAATGTGAGATGAATGCCATCTCTTAATACCCAAGCAGAGCACCACAGACCCCAAGGTTAAGAGCACATAAGATCCTTCATACTCATTATTTAAACTATTTGGAGGAAAGCTCCATACCTGGCAACATGTCATATTGAGAGGAAAGTCAATGGGAAACCTAACCGACTATATGCCTTACAGTGGGATCACTCGAGTTCAGTGTGGGTGAGGGTGAGTAATTATGGAATAGGATTTCCTTATAAAATCACCGTTTTCCTTCCCCTCTTCCAGCCTGATCAATGCTGATTTCTGCGTGGGTTCTGTGTGTGTTGCCTTTGGAGCCATCCTGGGCAAAACCAGCCCAGTACAGCTTCTCATCATGACTTTGTTTCAAGTCACACTCTTTGCAGTGAATGAGTACATCCTCCTCGAGCTGCTTCACGTAAGCTTTAAACAGACCCCGTGTCCCCAAGACTGAGTACAGTTTGGAAAGACAGATGGGTAAACAAGCTGGGCAGGACATAGACCACAACTCATCTCCAGAATAAGCAGTGACTCCAGAAATGAACCTCAGTTTTCCCACGGCTGCAGGTTAAGGACGCGGGTGGCTCCATGACCATTCACACCTTTGGAGCCTACTTTGGCCTCACTGTGACACGTTTCCTATACAGACCCAACCTGGAGCAGAGTAAAGACAAGGAAGGCTCTGTGTACCACTCTGACCTCTTTGCTATGATTGGTGAGTCAGCCATAACCTCTGCAGCATTGGTATTTGTGCACCAGTCAGTTGCAGAGAGCTGTTCACTCAAATGTCTCTGGGAAAACCAGACCAAAACCCAGATCTGGGACCAAGATCTGCATCCCAGTTTTCAACACCTGGGAACTACTCATCTCCCCTCACTAATGGTTGGGCTGAGGTGGTGCCTGGGAAGACAAGGCAGCATTTTGGTTCCTCTTCACTGCAAGCCCCTTCTGGTGCTGATCCCATCATGGAGGGCACAGCTCTGGAGCATCATAACCAGGGAATTTAACTTCGCTCTGCAGAAACCTCCTGTAGAGTTCTTTTTTCTACGTCTACATTCTTTCTTTCCCCTTCTTCTTTTTTGCTCCCTCCTCCCCATCCCACCAGGTACCCTATACCTGTGGATGTACTGGCCCAGTTTCAACTCAGCCATTTCTGAACATGGGGATGCCCAGCATCGGGCTGCCATTAACACATACTGTTCCCTGGCTGCTTGTGTCCTCACCACAATGGCCTTCTCCAGCATGCTGCAGAAGAAAGGCAAGCTTGACATGGTAAGCAGGGAGCAGAGAGCCCTACACTAGCCAGGGAACTCGCAGTGAAGTTGACCAAGGGCCCAGGAATTGGGTGACATTCGTCCTTTGCTGCACTGCGTTTCACAGTGTTGGTGCAACCGGCCTCCAACCAGAAACTCAGGCTGCACTGAAAAAGCAGATGGGAAGTGAATCCTGATGTTTTCGCAGTGCAAGCTGGTGCTGTCCCTGCATGTGATGTGCTGATGGCACAGCAAGGGCTGCATTTACTCTCCCAGGAGAGCTACTGATGGGCATAATTCAGAGCCGTGTTTGGCAGCACTCTCCAGCAAGCTGAGCAGGGCCTGTGCAGCAGCTTGTGAGCAATCGGGGGGCTGACTTGTACGTGTTATGTGTGTGGGTGCACAGTGTGTGACAGCAGAGCTGGCGTGACACATGGGTGAGACAATTTCCATCTCATCACAACTCCCCAGCCAGATTGGTGGAAGCAAAGAATGTGTGTGGTATGGAGAGTGGGAGTCTATGTGTGCCTGTGCTACAGACAGAGGCTGCCTGTTCTTTTCCTCTTGTTTTTCACCAGCAAGCAGGAAAGTGGGCCCCGATATTTGCCCTGAAAGTATTTTCAGAGCTGATTCTCCTGCTTTACCATTTGCACACACTTTGAACAACTGTGATTTCTCTGAGATGCCAAGACAGAGTGGTTACTCCTGCAGGTCCACATCCAGAATGCAACGCTGGCTGGTGGAGTGGCTGTGGGCACCAGCGCGGAGATGATGTTGACCCCATATGGCTCCCTCATTGTTGGGTTCATCTGTGGCATTGTGTCCACAGTGGGGTTTGTCTACCTCACGGTGAGTGCTGCTCTGGAGGTCTGCAGCCCTGTTCTCTTGAGGAGACCAGGAATGGATTCACCTCCCTTTGAGGGATCTTGATTTCCACTGTCCCTTATGAAGATGCACTTCTGACTCCATTTTCTGTCTCAAAATGCTAAGTAAGGCTCAGTCTCCCAGCAAGAGAATGGAGAAGAGCTCTTATTTTGTCCTGAGCTCATTTCACATATTTTTCTACATATTCCCCCTCCTTAGCATGGGAACACAATGGGACACATAATACCACTCTTCTTTCTCTACTTATCCCAGTCCTCCATGAAAGGAACTAATCCTTCCCAGGACTACACTCATTCTTCTGATTTCTCTCTACCTCCCTTTCCTTCAGCCTATTTTGGAGTCCAAGTTGCACATCCAGGACACATGTGGCATCCACAACCTCCATGGCATGCCAGGCCTTATAGGGGGCATTGTGGGAGCCATCACTGCAGCTGCAGCCACAGAGGATGTATATGGAAAGGAAGGGTAAGACAGCTTGAAACTTTCACAAGTTTTTTTCTGGGACTTCTGGGGCTCTTCGGGGTGGAAGAGAGAAGCAATTAATAGCATTTGCTCTATGTTCACTGTTATCTCTTTCACATGGAGTGCGCTATGTTGGGCTTAGTGACTTCTGGTGTCTTCAAAAAGTGAATCGTAGCCCTACTCCTTGGTAATATTCTGGGGCACAGAGGATGTGAAAATACTCCTTTTAGCTCTGCCTTGCTCTGGGGCTCAGGTAAGGCTGAAGTTCTGAAATACAAAATAAATGTTTGTATTTTGAACTCTTCCTAGGTAAAACCTTGCCATGAACCATAAAAGAAGGAAAAGAGCAGTGTTTTATGTCTTACAACACTCTCCTAATCCATTGCAGAAGGCAGATGGGATTAAGGAGGAGTCCACAAGGGCTCAGGGCAACAGAGCTCCTGTACCCTGGCTCAGCACAACCTTTTTCTGACTGGTGAAGATCTTCTGTCAGAATCAGACCTCACAATTTCTACCCTATGCAGGTTTATCAAGGCATTTGACTTCACTGGCAGCTACAAGACGCGGACGCCCAGCATTCAAGGAGGGTTCCAGGCAGCCGGCATTGTCGTTTCTCTGCTGATGGCTTTCGCTGGGGGAACCCTTGTGGGTAAGCAGGGGGGCAGCATGGAGAGGCGAGAGCCTGCAGCCGAAATGGAGACATTCACACGCTTTTCTGCCTTGGCTGGATGGGTCCTTGCCGCTAGTGTTGCAAGCGTGGGTCAGACCACAGCCTCCACTTCTGCTCGCAGGGAGATGGGGTGGGAGTTTGTGGGAGACAAGCCCCAAAAACCAGCCCCAATCGGCCCCGCTCTAGGAGCCATCCTGAAGCTGCCCATCTGGGGCGACGCGGCCGACGAGAACTGCTTCGAGGATGACATCTACTGGGAGGTGAGACCGGGGGTGGCGGGCGGCACAAGATGGCGCTGCCGCCCTCCGCATGAGGGCCGGCGGCGGAGCTGAGCGGGCCGCGCCATGCTGCAGGTGCCCGAGGACGAGGAGAGCGACGTGTACCACATGCACAACCCCGACAAGGCCGCCTCGCCCTGAGCCGCCATGCTGCCGGGCTGCCGCGCCTCAGCGGGACGGCGGGGCTGCCCCCGGGGGCGGGAAGATGGCGGCCGCCATGTCAGGCGCACCGCCCTGCCTGTGAGGAGAAAGCCTCGTGGGGAAAGCATGGGGGGGGGAACACCCACTTCCCCACTGGCTCACTTTTGTAATTAGTTCCTGTGAACAAAATAAAAGCATGGCTCTTTTTTGTAGTATAGGCCTCTGGTGAAAGCAGAGGGCAGCGGGGCACGGCATCCAGGATGGGGCTGAGCCCCTGTCCTGTGATGTGGGGTTGATGGCGTGGGGTGTGGGAGCTCACAGTGCTGCCCTAGGCCTGCTTGTAGAGTCACAGAATGTCCCGAGATGGGGGGGAAATCAGATGGATCATCAAGGCCAGCTCCTGGCTCCACAAAGAACCACCTAAAAATCAGACCATATTCTTGTGCTGCCCGTCATCACTTTGTCTTGGCTTCTTTACTGAGCCAGCTCTTTGTGAGCCTTGTTTGTGTGCGGCATGCAGACCAGCAAGGCCCTCTCCTCTTCTTCAGTGTCACGTGTTTGTTACAGTATCATCAGTACCCACCAGAACCTGATGAGGGTCAGCAAGGCCGTGTGCAGGATGCTGCACTTGGCTCCAGGCAATTCCAGGTATGCCTACAGGCTGGGAGAAGAACCCACTGAGAGCAGCCCTGCAGAAAAGGACCTGGGGGTCCTGGTGGATGGAAAGCTAGACATGAGCCCACAGTGTGTGCCTGCAGCCTGGAAGGCTGATAGTATCCTGGGTTACATCAACAGAGAGGTGGCCAGAGAGAGGGGATTGTCCCCCTCTGTTCTGCCCTTGTGAGGCCCCATCTGGAGTACTGCATCCAGGTCTGGGCCCTCCAGAACAAAAAGGATGTGGATCTGTGGGAGCAGGTCCAGAGGAGGGGCACAACAATCCTTAGAGGGCAGAAGCATCTCTCCTGTGAAGAAAGGCTGAGAGAGTTGTGTTTGTTCAGCTTGGAGAAGACTGGGGAGACCTCATTGTGGCTTCCCAGTACTTGAAGAGTGTTTATAAGCAGGAGGGCGACTGACTTTTTGCATGGTCTGGTAATGATAGGACAAGGGGAAATGGCTTTAAACTAAAAGGGGAAATTTAGGTTAGATATTAGGAAAAAATCCTATACTGAGGTGGTGGTGAGGCCCTGGCACAGGCTGCAAGAGAATCTGTGGATTCCCCATCCTTGGAGGTGCTCAAGGCCAGGCTGGATGGGGATCTGGGCAGCCTAGTCTGGTGGGGGACACCAGCCATGGCAGGGGGTTGGAGCTGGGTGATCTTTAAGGTCCCTTCCAACCCAAACTGTTCTATGATTCTATGATCACACCATTTTTTCCACTTTATGGTGCTATTCTGGTGGGAACGGCCCAACAACAGATCACTGCCTCCATCTGTTAACTGGACCATCTTCCAGCCAGGAAAAACATCAGGTTTCAACCAGAGTCGAAGGAGACAGGAGTAAAAATCAGGCCTAAAACCTGTGTGTTTGCCAGCATGATATGTGAAGAGCAGGAGAGGAAAAGAGGGGGAAAAAAAAAAAAAAGAAAAAAAAAGGAGGTGGGAGGGCTGATAGGTCTCTTCACCGTGTCTAGCTGTAATTCTCACACCTGAGGGGGGGAGTCAAAAGTAGCTATTCACATCCCCTTGGGATATGACACCCTCATTTTCCATGCTGGGTAAAGACAAAAACCCTTTACAACATGTTTCTGGAATTTGTCAGCGGCTGCCAGCAGCAGCATGTTAATTAAATGTCGGCAAAGATGGAAGCAAGAGGCTCTGCTCTAATTGGACACTTTGCTTGGTGGAGCTGAAAAACATTGTGACAGAGGAGGAGGTGCCGAAACACTGTGTTCCCCCGCCATGTCGAGGGGACGGGGACAGCAAGGCATAGGAAATGCACTGTTCTGAACCACGGTTGTCTTTGCTTAGCCTGAGACAACCTCACTGGTGAAAAAAAGAGGAGTAGCAAAAAAGGAAAAGGCCTAAAATCCTCCACAGGAATCATCACCAGCACAGCAGCAGCGTAGGATGCAGGGAGACAGCTTTGTAGTCTAAGAGGATGCTCAGCTAAATTGCTGATTTAACGGGGCATTCCTGGTTCCTTGGCTGTGCCCCCTGTGGGATGAGCTTGGGGCATCACTCAGTGTAGCAGTTCAGCATCCCTAAGTAATAGATGTGAGCTATGAATCTCCCCATCTCATGCCAGGCACTGATGTTGTCTGTAACTCAGAAGGCTTTGGCCGGAATAGTTTTGCTCCTGCCCTGGACTGTCCAGCTGGATCACTCTTTCCACTTTGAACCGGTACGGGGACAAGAAAATGAGGAGTTTTGAGTTTTTGGACACGTCAGCCTACACATTTTGGGGAGGCAATGTCCCACTGTGGGGAGGCTGCCAGATCTGGCTCCAGAGCCTCTGGTCTGTCTTTCCAAAAGCTTGAAAACAATCTCAGGATTCAGTAACCAAAAAACCAAGCAGCCTTCACTGCTTTAGCAAAGCTGTTAGCCCCCATCTCATTCCTCTCTGAGCACCAGGACACAGTCCTGCCCCATGTGCTGATGTGGAGGGGAGTCCCAACCCCACTCCTTGTCCTCTGGGCTCTGCCTCCTCCTCGTGGGAAGACACCTGAATTGCCCAGACTCCTGGGCAGTGAAGCGTTTTATTGCCCGTGCTCTCGCGGGGCTCAGTCTGGTCTCAGTACCTAAATCACTCTCTGGGGCCGGCCTTGCAGTTTTAATTCCCTAATGAACAATGCCGGGGTCGGGCCAGCGCGTTTGAAGTGTGGTCACGGCCCCAGCGGTGGACAGAGGGTTTCTCAACGGGGAGTGGAGGATTGGCCTGCTTTGGCAGGCAGGCAGAGGAGGTGTGAGAAAGGAGCTGTTGATACCCATGGGGATTAGGTGGTACAAATTGGCTGGGAAGCACCGGAGGCATTGACCAGAGCTGTCCTGGGGCAGGTTCCCATGGGGGGGCTGCCTGAAACAACCCTCCTTCAAGGAGGCTGGAAGGGCCAGCCTGGCTGCTAATCCCCTGGGAGCTATGGAACACGAAGCAGAAAAGAGGTTAAAAAAAAAAAAAAAGGGAGAGAAAATCTCGTGTAAAGATGGTGGTTTCCCCAAGGGGATGATAGAGAGAGAGGGAAGGGGGCGGGAAAGGGGGGAACGGCACCATTTAATCCTGCTTTTAATAGGCAGGTGGTGGGCTTAGATCACACTCCCGCTCCTGCAAGCTGCTGCAGAGATTTTGGAGAACGGCCGTGCGGACTGGCAGGGACCTCCACATCCTTGCAAAGGATCCCCATCTGCGGCAAGAGGACACGTGCTTATGTCTGTGCTTGTGTGTGTGCCTGTGTAGGTGTGGGTACGCGATGTCACCCCAGGTTGGGGCTGCTGTGGGCTCACCGCACACCCAAAGTTGTCCCGGTGCCCACGCTGCCGTGTGTGGGTGCAATCTCCCATGCCCATACCCCCGGCACACACTTTTTCTGAGCACACGCACACGCTGCCCGGCACAATGAGCGCCCTGTGCCAAGTGTTGGCACATCTGCGGGTGCGTGCCGGCATTGCACGTGCGTGTGCCCTTCACCACAGCCGCAGGGACACGTGCCAGCTGTCTGGCCGCATCGTGGCCGTGCCCATCCGTGCACCTTTGTGCTGGTGCGAGTGCGTGCCTGTCGGACCTGGTGCGTCCACGTCTGTGTGAAAGACTCTCCAGCCCCTTCTTCAGGAGTGCTGTAAATTGTAATCAGATTAAGGCAGCCAATCACTTAGGGCCCTTGAAAAGGGCATACGTTCCCTAATCAGTACCTAGCATTGAGTCTCACAAAGGGTCTAAGTAACTCGGCAGGGGTCGGGCCCTCTGGAGCGCAGGGGAGGGGGCTTGCCTTTCTTTTCTCTCTGTCCCTTGTAATTATGTCAATTTGCTAGCCAAATTGTTTGCTTGAGTGGACAGTGGGGGCTTGCCCCCCTTCCCGCCTTCCCCCCACCCCCGGCCCCATTCATGTGCTAATGTGGGAAGGAGCATGGCCTCCTGACTTTAGGAGGTGGCCGTGGCCTCTCGAGGAGCAGCACGCGGTGCCCGCACCCAGCCCCGTGTCCACAGGCTGCTGCCTCCCCATGCCTCAGCGAGAACTTCTGGTCTCTGCATGCTGATGGACATGAAGACATAGTGTTGAGTTTCTTGAGCTTCTCATCTCGTTGCAGGGCTCTACCATGCCAAGGGATTCACCCCTCTGACTCTGGAGAGGGAACAAAACCTCAAGACCAGCATGGACAGAGAGGTGGTGAATGATGGCAGGGAGAGATGGTATCACCATTGATGGACAAGGAGAGATGCTGCCTACATCTCTCATACCTTGTGAGCAGGCAAAGGGCATGCACACCCTGAGCTGCCTGCTGGCACTGCCACTTGTCCTGAGCCTATGGGGACATGGAGGAAAAGGTGACAGTAACAGGAACCTATGCTGCAGGCATCCATGAGCTGTCAGATGCCGCTGTGACAGACATACACAAGGCTCTCAGTCACACCACTGCCACCCAAGGCCACCTTTCCCCACCCTGCCTGGGGACAGCAGGGAGTAAATTACATGTGTGCCCCTGGGAGTGCCCTCTGCATGCCCCTGGATGCCTTCTCATGCAGCCCAGAAGACCGGGGCCCTCTCCTGCTGGCTCCTGCTTGTGTCACCTCCCTCACCTGCACCACGTCCCCTCCTCACCCCGTCGCAGGGCCGGGAGCTGTGCCAAGCTGCACAGAAGCTCCTCCGACACACCTCCCCACCCACTCCCAGCATTTGCATACATTCTGCCCGCAAATCCTTGTCAAGGGGAGCCTCTTTATTGCCTGTATAGATCACAGGGTGTTTGTTAAGGGGCTTCTTTGTATTGCCTCAGACAGCTGGGGTCATCAAAAGTCCTGCGGTGGGAAGGAGAGACAGGAGGAGGGGGGAAACCCTGACAATGCAGACTGAAGGATTAAAGGAGCATATAAAGT